ATTTTAATTTAATTGTTAAATTTAATTTTAATTTAATTGTTAAATTTAATTTTAATTTAATTGTTAAATTTAATTTTAATTTAATTGTTAAATTTAATTTTAATTTAATTGTTAAATTTAATTTTAATTTAATTGTTAAATTTTATTTTAATTTAATTGTTAAATTTTATTTTAATTTAATTGTTAAATTTAATTTTAATTTAATTGTTAAATTTAATTTAACATTTTATTTAATGTTCTTTTTCATTTAAGAAATTACTGTCTCATTGTCGTATTTTTTGGTTACTCTATCTGATCGATATTTTTACTTGAATGCATTGAAGTTCAATGATAATTTTCAATGATAATTCAATGTTCAATGATATGTTCAATGTTTTATCAATGTTCAATGATAATTTCTAAGTGAATAAAGTTCCGTTTCCATTGTAAAGTGTTGTGCAAAGTTCATTCATAGTCTTGAATATTCCAACTTAAGTTCTGAGGCTAAAATTCAACTTTGGAAAGTTTGTCCATCTTATAGAGTAAATGAAAAGTTAAAGAAGAAGATTTTAAAGAAGAAATAAATTCAACTTTAGAAGTTTGTCCATTTTAAAGAAATAAACTTTAATTTGATTTGGAACTTCTAAGGGAAAATGCGAGTTTGATTTACTTAATGTGTTGAATTTATAGTAGAGCTCATAAATAGAACCCACTATTGAACAAAACTTGCATTGAGAAACATTAAGATTTTGTCTAGTTTTGCATTATTTTGGTGACACTGATAGAAATAACTGGTGCAGACGAATATGTATCGGGGTTGGGTTATGGGTGGCCACTCAAAGTCCGGCGCTTATTCGGCCCTGAATTTCAAGTTAATAAACGACCTCTACTTAACAGCCGTGACCTTGACAAGGCAGACGTGACGTCATCGCCTCACGATAACGTGATGCCCGTGATGCCATTAATTTAATTGTTAAATTTAATTTTAATTTAATTGTTAAATTTAATTTAACATTTTATTTAATGTTCTTTTTCATTTAAGAAATTACTGTCTCACTGTCGTATTTCTTGGTTACTTTATCTGATCGATATTTTACATGAATTTTACATGAATGAATTTACTACGAATGAAGTTCATTCATAGTCTTTAATATTCCAACTTTAGTTTCTGTGGCTAAAATTCAACTTTGGAAAGTTTGTCCATCTTATATAGGAAATAAACTTTAATTTGATTAGGAACTTCTAAGGAAAATTCGAGTTTGATTTGCTAAATGTGTTGAATTTATAGTAAAGCTCATAAATAGAACCCACTATTGAACAAAACTTGCATTGAGAAACATTAAGATTTTGTCTAGTTTTGCATTATTTTGGTTACACTGATAAAAATAACTGGTGCAGACGAATATGTATCAGGGTTGGGTTATGGGTGGCCACTCAAAGTCCGGCGCTTATTCGGCCCTGAATTTCAAGTTAATAAACGACCTCTACTTAACAGCCGTGACCTTCACTAGGCAGACGTGACGTCATCGCCTCACGATAACGTGATGCCCGTGATGCCTGTGATGCCCGTGATGCCCGTGATGCCCGTGATGCCCGTGATGCCCGTGATGCCCGTGATGCCC